CAACCCGGCCGCCACAACTTTATGGAGAGAATTAAACGGCCAAAGCCGGCTGGCGAGAGGTGTGATCTGCTAACCTTGACCGACTCTACAGAACTTGTTTAATACAGGAAAAGGAATAATGAGTGAAATGGAGGAAGCTCTAATGATGTACCATTGTTTATTAATCAATACAGGTGCAGCATGGAAGATCAGGGCGATCCAGTGTGCAACTGACAATGTGTGCAATAGTCCATATACAAAAAACAGATCACCAATATCTTCAGTCACACATCGGCTTTACACAATGTGGACGTGCAAATGCAATAAAGCTCTGGCAACCAGATTTTACCTTCTGTTGGTTTAAAGGACTCAAAGCCCAATAAAAATAAATCAGATTAGTATTATAGTATTTACGACTGCTAATATATTATATTGGTAATACATCTGTTATATGTTTACAGCTCAATGCATCAGTGGTAACTCATTCCAACAGTGCCAAACCCCATTCCATGAAGCTTTCTACACACTGTTGTTGCGCCAATCTGAAGGCCAAACGAAGTTCGGAGGTCTGTAGCTATTGACTCTGCAGACAGTTGGCGACTTCTGCGCACTGTGCGCTTTAGCATGTGCTGACCCCGCGCTGTCATTTTACGTGGCCTACCTCTTCGTGGCTGAGTTGCTGTTGTTCCCAGTTGCTTCCACTTTGTTATAATACCAGTAACAGGTGACCGCTGAATATTTAGTAGCAAGGAAATGTCATGGATGGACTTATTGCACAGGTGACAACCTATCACGGTACCACGCTTGTAGTCACTGAGCTCCTGAGAGCGACCCATTCTTTCACAAATGTTTGTATAAGTGTCTGCATGCCGAGGTGCCTCATCCTATACACCTGTGGCCATGGAGGTGATTGGAACACCTGAATCCAATGATTTGGAGGGGTGTCCCAATACTTTTGGCAACATAGTATATATATATATATATATATATATCACAGCTGCAATCATTTTACATGGCCTTTTAGCTTACAGGAGATGGACACATACAGTCATAAGCAGTACCCCTACACTTCCTGTGCCTTGGCAATCATGTTCTGTAGCCTCATTGTTCTATATCAGTGGGAGATCTAAGGCACTGCTGCCTCTGACTGCTAGTTTTAGGAGATTTGGAGTGAGATTTGGTGATTTCTCTATTGTACTGCTCACTGTTCCCCTTGCTGGAGAGGAAGCTGTACCCGAGACCCTGCAGTGCAAAGGTGTCCCTGCTGTTTTTGATTCATTCATTCTGTGGATTTGAGCTTCCTTTACCTGTCTGGCTGCGTTAGAAGGCAAAGACCTGCTCCTCTACCAGAAACAGTGCTGAGCTAGGCATTGGGGAGGGGTCAGGGGCCATATGTGCTGCCAGTATCTGCGCGTCGCTAGAGTGTTCGGGTTACGCTTGAAGAAAAGGTGGCAACCCTATTCCTTAAATGTGTGTTCCTGGCCAGCGACTCACCCGAAATCCCAGAGCTAAGAAATCTCAACCATAAGTTGGCAATAACAGCTTTCTCTCCTCGCAGGTTCAGTTTACAGTGAGTTCATACAAGGTGTCTCCAACCCATGTCTGCCCTGCAGTCCCATTTGAACAGTTCTGGGAAAGCCATTAAAGGAAACCCCTTTTAGTCTGCTAAAAGTAAAAATAAACAATACTATAATGAAATCCTGCCATACATACCCTGAGCGACAGCAACAAACAAAACAAAAGAGGAATATACAATGACCGATGGAAGCACAGATGGTCTCTCAGCTGCAATACGCATTATTAATACATTGCACCTGGCTACATAA